CTGGGCTGCTACCTAAATGCCCCACAAAACATCTGCTGACAGTCTGCAGTGCTGCCAACTCAATAGTGCTTGGCCTCTTCCAGCTTGTTTAATTCTTCCTTTGCTGTAAATGATCCTCCACAGCACCTTGATTCAAGAAGAATAGCTAGTCATAGGGGATAGGTACTACTATTAGATTTATTTTTTTTAAAAGGGAAATCAACTCCTGAAAAAGTGAGAACTTGCTATTCTTACACCAGGGATGTTGTATACCTACAAATGCAAAGACTAGCAAAGAAATCCTTTCACTAGACAGGGTACACTCCAACACGCCAGAAACACAAATCTCTGCAAGGCGGCATTAATTTTACTAGAAAGAGGTCATAGGTAATATACTACTTGCTTTCAAACAGGTGGGTTTTTTCCACCTCCTTTTACTCTCAGAAAAATAACTTCTATCCAACCATTGATCAGTTGTGTGATCTGCAGCAAGTCACAGTCATCCCTGGTGTCCACGGTTTTTCATCTCCAGATTAGTGACTGTATAATGCACTTAATAGCACCTTGATGCTCCTTTGATACTTACCCTCAATATTATGTTCTGTAGAATCATATAATGGAGCTAGGACCTCAATACTCACCAGAAAAAGAAAATGAGACAGAAGTGAAAATTTCTGTGTGTCCCACACACACATGCTTCTGGGGCAGGATGGAATGACTAAAACGTACAAGATTATGTTCTGAAAAGTCTTCTAGGTTTGTTGGCATATAGAGAAAAAAATAGGCAGGAAAAGGGTTATATAAAGCACAGTAGCAGGATTATTTTATTACAGACTAGGAGAGCCACAAGACAATAAATACATACATTTTAAGTATGAGGGAAAACAAGAAATGGGTAGAAAGATAATTTGTCCAGACAACACAACCCTTTTTAGTCACTGTCTCTTTATCCCTTACTTGTGCTTCTAGCAATGTTATGCATGAAAATAGGGCAAAAAGTGTCAACTCCAGCCAGGAGTACAAATTAGTTCCCTGAAGACCATGAGATTATCTGTAGGGGTTTACCAACTCTTCACACACAGCCAGTCACAGTCAGGGCTTAGGGCTTGCTGAAGTTACAAGTAGTTGTAACATCTACTCTCCTTGCCAAAGACTAAATTATGTCTCTGTCCAGGCCTTCTTGTCTAATCTAAGCAAGAGATTATGCTTAGTGTCCGACAGCCCTTTTTTAAAGGGCAAAAGTGCGATAGACCATAGACAAACAACCTCAAGAAACTAGCAACACTTTGAACATCTCACTTCACAACTCCTAGCACACTGTTTACTAAAGACATTTTATGCCAGTGATTACAGTAGTTTCTAGATGCAAAAAATTAGCCCAAATGCTGACAAAGCCAATTCTTTTCCAGTTTGAGCAAGCGCTAGATCTCAACCTTTCTTTGGAATGTTTATATGGGAGATAAAAGAAAGGTTAGTCTCCTCAATAGCACCAGCAAAACTATGCATCGCAGCTATTCCAGATGGCCAAGAACTTAATTCATGTGAGGTTTTTTCCCATTGGAGATGATGGCTTATTTTTCCTTGCTGTAAAGAACTTACTTTTCCAGTTTGCGGGGGCAAGTGTTTGGATTTGAAATGAGACATCTGCTACTTGGAGGTTAGAACAGTGACCGCAAAGCAGCACATACAGTAGTAGTCTTCCTGCTCAAGTTTCAATTTGTGATGGACAGGGTTGCCTGAGGTCAGGGCTGTCATGAACCAGCTCAATGTTCCTCTTGGCCAGTAAATACCAGTAAAAGAATTACCTATGGAAACAGCCAATGCCTCTAGATATTATGTGTGTTTTTTTTCTCCTCCTTCCTTTCAAATTTATGCACTGGGGGGCCTAGCCTGCTTCTTGATTTAAGTATTATCTACCTACATTTCTAAGTAACATGAGCACTTTCATGTAACAAGAAAGTACATATACACAGGTATGTAGAGAGGGATACACACCTTAGAGGCATGCATTTACATTATGATGCACATGATATATTAATAAGTGACCATTGCTACAGATACACTTACTACTCTGCCATACAGTTGCTTAACCTGTAAGTCTATTACTCTTTAACTCCTCATAGTTTTTAAACTTCAGTGCAGGTTTCCAATGACATGGTCTGCAAGAGTATTATACAGGAAAATAGAGATGTGTAGCTCAGTTCATAAAAACATGTGCTGTATTATACATCATCAAGGTTGGGAAGACTCCCACTGGAGTTAACATCCCACTGTTCTAGGTATTCTACATAATCACAGAGAAATACTGCCACCCTCAAACACAAACAGTTCAGAGGGGGGAAACAGAAAAATGGAAAGAGAAACATCCAAGATGACAAAGAGCTCAAAATACAACCCAGGCTACCTTTGATCCAGTCCACTGCATTACACAAGTTCTGTACTGTAACATATAAACCATTACTAAAAATCACAAGCGTAACTCTGAATTTTATATTGCATTTGACTCTAGCAGCTTGATTTGGCACTTACGGTATTAGAAAGATTTTAAATTTTGCTCGCATGTTTCTTAGCAAGGAGAGGACATGAAGACGACATTGAAAACCAAGGTTGGAGGTCAATCTTGCAGATTTCTAAGGCCAGCTGGCCAAGTGTTCTATAGCCATAGGGTCATTAAGCCAGATACTACTGGAAAATTGATATCTCTGACAATTAATTCCTGATGGTAAGTGTTGGATGTGGTTAAGGAACACAATGAATTAGTCCCACCATTGTTCTTTGCCAGTAGGTATAACCTATTGTTGGTAGAGACATCTGAGTGTCCTGGCACTCAGAAGACAGCAACCTTTTATCCTGCCTGTATTTCTTGAAACATTTATAGAATGTATATAAGCTAGGCTTGAACATTTCAGAGGGAACGCTAGAAGCCTGTGCATTTTAGGTTTTCCATTAATTAGCTGTGAAGCTAATGAAATGCTAACACAATCAAATGAAAAAAATCAATTTCCCTTGCTGTGCTGTTCTTTCTACCAGCCATTATTATTAGTTAAGTCAAATTGCTATTTTAACTACACCTTTCATACAGAGTCATGCTTAGGTCCATTTAAAGTCTATGAAGAGCAAAGGAAAATTGAATTGTCCTCTGTTGCAGAGAGGATTTTATCAGGTACTCATATGTCCTGAGTACATAAGGACAACTTTATGGAGAAAAGCAAGCTTATGGGGTTTTGGATTTCTTAAAAGATTAAGGGCATTACTCATGACAGTCTGGTATAAGACATGCCACTGCAAAAAGAAGTTAGTTACATATGCTTGCTAGTACACCAGACAGTATGCAAGCACTGACAAAGCTAATTAAGGAAACAAATTTTTCTTGTGTACATACTAGAACCAAATTGCCTTTGGCATAAAGCCAGGCACAACTCCACCATCCATACCACTCTGAGTCAAACTGCAGTTGCTTCCTCAGTAATTTTGGTTTCACAGCTGTTCAAAAAAGATTAGGAATTAGAGATATACTATTTCACATGAGAATTTTAAACATTACCCTCATTAACCCTGACTAAAGGAACAATCTGATAGCAGCTAAAACTTACCCCATATTAAGCTTCTGCTAAAACTTCATATTAATACAGATCTAAAAGGAAGGACCCCTAAATAACCAAGTTGGTAAGTGCAAAATTGGAATTATAGGCCAAGCATTTTCAATCTTAGCTACAGCTCTGGCAACTTCTCATAGGGAGTAAAAAGCTGCATTAAACTCAGTCTCCTTCCATAAGAAAACAGTCCCTACCTAAGAAGAATACTTCCAAAACTGACAATGTTTTGGAAATGGGAATACATAAACCCTTTGGCTGTATGCAAACACAAAACAATGAGAAATCCTAGCAGTCAGTGAGTCAAGCCACATAGGACACCCTGCAGAACTCAATTCCCTTCAGTTGTCAATGTCCTTATTCTTATGCTGCTGCTTCTCAACAAGTTGCTGGCAGGGCCACATGCTAGGTTCTTCTTGTAGGTATGTAGAATCCTTAAGTCTGATGAATAAAAACTCCCTCTGCCCCTTCTAGAAAATGAAGACTTTCTCTCTAAGCTGAAATCTTAGTAAGCCAGGAAGGTACAATAAAAGCAAGAAGAGTTACATCCTTTCAAGCTGATATTTTTAAGGGCTTTTTTTTTTTTATATTAGCCATGAGAGGGCAATAGAAGTTGCCTGTGATTCCAGTGCTTCAAGTCAATTCCTTTCAAATACAAATTACCAAACACAAGATAAACACCCATATAATTTCCTTCTCTGTGCTTCACAGCAGTAAGCTGGATGCTACAAATGTTTGGTTTTTTCTTCCTTGAACAGCCTGGGTACATTCAAGAGACAACTCAGCAGGCCTCAGGGTACCAAGACTCAGTCCATTCCTCACCTCACTACTCACCAGCTCTCACTTTCAGCAACTCTCATCATTCTTCCTTTCCCAGGTATTTTGGTATCCTGTCAATAATTGCTAGTTCACCTGCCTACTACCATCCTATTTTCTATCTTATTTTATGCCACCATTTTAGAGACAGGTATTTTTACTGAGGGTATTTGTTAGCCCTCATGATGACAACTGAGAGAACCTCATACTGCTCAGTGTGTTTCAACACCTCTCCAAAAGTTAAACTACTTAGGCAACATTACCTTTATTTTACAGGAGTACAGATAGAGAAAAATCTGACATTTGAAAAGCATTTAGAAAGTTTAGAACTCTTAAATTTCAGACTCTTAATTAATGGATCTGGGAGCTTAAGTAATTTCATTGTTTTTGACATTGTTGCTGTGAGTTACATGCCAAAAGATACTGTGTGAGAAGTGATTAAGCAGAGGACTGAACCAGGATCTCCCAAGCTAAAAGCACAGAACAATGTTCAAGTCACCAATATGACTCAAAACATACTTTATTCAAAAAACAAGATTCATGGACCTGAAAATTATGTTTACAAGAAAATCCAGTGGTAAAGAAAAATCTGATTACTACTGAAATTATCATCAACTTTCATATTTTCAGTTAAGGTTCTGAATAATTATGTATCCATATAATATAGAAATATTAACATAGTAGTTTAACATTTCTGTAATAATCAGGTGTACCTGCAGAGTCTGCTCTCATGGTAATGCTTGTATATTCAATAGTTTCTTCACAGACTCCTTATACTGAGACACGTTATTTTCTGTTTCACCTTCATTTTTAAGTGCAATTACAGAGTTTCTGTAATTCTTAACCACTTCAGATGCAAGAAGCTCTTCCTTAGTTACATTACTGACATTCTCTGAGGCTTTTATTCGAAGCAGTGTATCCAAGGCATTTTTCTGAGAACAGCTATTTTCCCAGATATATTCTTCCATGTCTTCCTCAGTCTTCTCGCTCTCCCACATCTCAGTTTTCTGAAAGAGAATATACATTGTCTTAAAAACTATTTAAGACTGAAACAAAGCTACAATAATTTGAAGAAACTTATCTCTCATACCAATTCACTTTAAAAATTACATTCCTTGTGGAAGATATTTCCCCTCCTCTAAAGTACAAGGCCTGTAACTCAAGCCTCAAACAGAGTTCAAAGGGTGCCTGTATGCTGTGCATTTTCTGTGCAGAATGAGTTTCTTTCCTCCCACTTCTCCCATTCTTTATGTAACTGGCAGATATAACTAGACAAGTCAGAACAGACTATACATAATGAATAACAAAAAACCTTGTAGAAGTAATAATTTTAAATAACCCTAAATGCTCAAGCTTTGGAATTAGACACCTAGCTATTATGTCCCTAGCATATGATTGTTATGTTTACATTGGCTATAAGACACACAGTGAGACAGCTCATACCAAGTAACCTATGATGAGAGACAGCAATCCTTCAACATTAGGGAAATGTTTTAATTGTGACTCATAAGGAAAAGCACCACCAGTTAATCTATTTCCTCTTCTGCAAAACAGATTGTTCCTCAAAAGAATCTCTATCCAGAAGGTGCTAATTTTTAACCTAATTAGCACTGCAAGATTAAACAGGATCAAAAGTTGAACACAGACAGAAGACATCATCCTAGGGCCTGTAAATACGTGGCTTGTGCAGTGCTTTATAAATTTTGTCTTTGAACATTTCTCCAATTCAGCAGGCCTTCCTCTAGCTTCACAGACTGTTTAAGGGATATTTCAAATGTTATAACCTACCATTTTAATTTTATTTTTATTGTACTTTGGTAAATATATACACTTCATAGAGATATTTGTATTTTTATATATTGTAGATTGTATATTTATTTGCATATGTATAATTATTTAGTATTCTACTGATGTAAACAATACATAGTGTCCTATTACTTCAACTATATAAATCACAATTTGAAGTATTTTTGGTGGTTATGTTTTTCTTACAATTGTTGTAGAAATCATGTCTAAATAAAACTCATATTTCTCTAGGAGTAAGTTCAAAGAAACATTGAAGTACTTACATCACATGGACTTTTTATTTTTAAATCCCTTGCCAGAAACAGTTCTTCAGTAAATTTTTAGCTATGCAGAACCCAAATAAACCTGGCAATCATGGGACCATTGGGGTCTTTTTTGTTTGCTGTTATTGGTTTTGGTTTTTTTTCCAGGGGGTTAGGGGGTAGGTGCTGTTGGGTTTTCATTTGTTTATTTTATTCTGTCCACTAGTCAACAACATTGCTGCAGTCAAACCACAATACTTAATAACCTTTAACTAAGACTAAAGATTTTTCTTCCTACAACCCTGTGTGCTTGGGTCCATCTATCTGAATTTAACAATACTTGAACAAAGCTGCATCCTGTACCTCGTAAATGGAATCTCTTGTCTTTTAAATCTCTGAATCCAAATGTTTAGTCAGAAACAGTGCTAAAAGGCTCATGTGACTGACATTAAAACCTGGACACAATACAACACAGAAGTAAAGAACCTCATTCAATTTCTAGAGGGGGAAAAAAAAAGGACATACTGTAGCCTGTATTGCTAAAACAGTAGCACAACACATGGGTATAGTAAAGTATTCCTTGTATGTTTGAAAAATAGTGCAATTCAATGTGGAGATTTACACAGTTTTAAGTTAATGACATAATCCTGTTTTACATATCCCTTGTTTATCTGCATAGGGGCCATCCAAGACATTTTTTCCCTAAACTCCAAAAGAATTTTAAAGCAAAAGCTTCTCTCACAGGGATAGGGTTTCTCAAAGAGTAAGGGAATATGGGTATCACTCCTGGTCACTCCCTGGACCAAACTCATGTTAGAAGTTCAAACAAAAGACCACTGTGAGGCTTTTAAACACCTTTAAGTTATAGCAGAGACAACAAGAACCAATTACAGTCATTACATTTATCTCTTTAGGAAAATCCCTCTCTGCACACATTAACTTAGAGGATTTTGGAGATGCACGCTGATAAACAGATTAAGATTTCCCCATCTCTTTTGAGCATACAGAGCAAGAAGATTCTAAAGCAGGCCAAAGAAACTGTTGAGTATTCCTTCTTGGAATCCTTCCCAGCCAAATGGTGTGTCAAAATGGATTTTAAAATAAAATCTGACTTCTGGGGGGGAGGGAGGCAGGAAGGGATTTGACAGTAGGGGGAGATTTCAAAATCCATTCCTAGCCGTGCTACAAGAAGGCAGTATCCATTGCTGCAATGTTGGTGGCCGTGCCTCAAAATGAAAAGTTATTCTACTGTACACAGGTCCAGACATACATCACAAACAGGAAACTGAACAGAAACCAGATTTTTGCAAACTGACTGTATGGAGTGAAACTTAAAATACCTTTCCAACTAGATTTATTACAAGAGAAAAAGTGAATCTGGAATTATATTTTCACTTGAAAAAGTACCCTAGGTAGACAAGCACCCATAAACTCTGAATAGTGGAAATATTACAAGTGTAGTCTCAGTTTGAAGTGTTATGAAGAAAACTAATGAGACAGTGAAAGAAACTTCAAAAATGAGGTCTTAATCACTCAAAGTTTTGTTCATTGATTATTTTTGTCCCCTACAAATTTAAAATGTTAGTAAACACTGTAGTTCAGAGTCTTACAAAAAAGAATAAAACTTTAAAAACTGGAATACAAGTGTGGCATTGTGTAACATTTTTCTAGAATCCCCACTTAGCAAACAAGGTTAAAAAACTCAAGAATGGATATTTCTTCAATGAATTCACTAAAAATGATTGCTTCATTCTATCACATGTAAGACAATCTCAGTAAGCATTAACCAGCCTGGCTGAAGATGCACTCAGCTAATAATTTCAACTGTTTCTCCTACCAAAACTTCCATTAAGAACTGCAACCAAAGAAAAAAAAAAAATCACCAGAAAACAACTTTTCATATGAAGTCAAAGGATCTAACCCTATTACTGAAGAGGAACAGAAGATTGATTTTTTTTTTTTAAACACTTTCCAATGCAAATATAGAGAATTATTTTTTCAATGCCATAAACAGAATAAGGATTTGTGTCTAAGCAAGCCTTATGCTACTGCTTAAGCCAGTATTTTAGGAGGTTTACAAGCCTTTACAGTGCTTAATCTGAAATGCTGACACAGTATACATACTAAAAGAGTACCCTGGCCAGTGAAATTGCTTTTACTTATAAGTCATTAACAAAAAGCTTCAATTTATATTGTACCTCTAAGTTTAGAGGAAAAAAAAGCATTTTGATCACTTAAGCAGGCATTTCACCATCACTTTCCTTCTTTTTTTCCTGCCAGTTTAACTTTTGTAATTTTGCTGTCACAGCAATATGGAAGAGGATTAGAATTATCAGTTCTTTTGGGAAAAAGATTTTAACTAAAATTTGGAAGTGGCACACAAATCTTCAAGGAAATTAAAAACATGATTCATGCTAGTCAATTTTCTTGTCAATGTTTGAACAGTTAAAAATTCAATGCTGTTTAGCAAAGACCAAGTATTTTAGTGGGTTTGTTTTGTTTTTTTTTTTGAGGAGAGGGAAAGGTCTTTAAATTGCAAGTCAAATTTCAATCTCTGTATAGCCTGGAATAAATACACCTATTTCGTAGTACTGCATTGAAATAAAAGATACCCTGTGTGGTACAATAACCACAGATTTTCAGGTAATAAATGACAGCTAAGCTAGCATTTTCCAAATTATTAGGTACCTTCAATCCAAAGAGGAGTTGCCAAAACAATTATGTACTTATCTCTTTGGAAATATTACAACTTTGACCTGTACTATTTAGTTAGCAACTTAAAAAGAAATATCAACATGAATTTGTAAAAAGGCAAAACATTTGTATCTGATGAGATCGGACACAAAAAATTTTAATTGCTTGGTGATGCAGAATATGTTAAAATAGATTCTTCTGAATGAGCAGAACATTATTTTCTAAGACACAGCTATGGCACAGGGAAGGTAAGACCTCTAGAGTGTCAAGGAAAATCAGGAGAAAGACTGTTAGGCCTAAACATTCCAGTAAGGTACAAAAGTAAAACAGAAAAGGAGAACAAGCAGAGAAGAACGAACAGAACTTTGCCTCAAAAAATAATACTGGATGCAAGAGATGCTCTCATACTTAATGATACTCAGGCTTAATCTCTGGTTCTGTCACTAGCTTCAGAGTTCTCAGCAGTCACCATCATCTAGATAGCCTCTTTCAAAGATTAGGACACCTACTTTCTTTGGCCTGAAGTGGCTGCAAGTATTTTCTGGAAAATCCAGGCTTCTAAAAGGGTCATTTGTAATATATTTATCTGTTTGTTTTCTGAATGCCGATCAGATAAGATTCTGATCTCATCAAGAAAGATCAGTGATATTAAGGGTCCAAATCTTTGATAATTTTCTGTTCATTTTGTTAATATCTATGCCCCATAAGACTTCATTTCACTCCAAACTTTAGACCAAAAAATTAAACAGCTGTAGAAGTTATATTTATGCATCAAAAAGGAGCCTTGTTTCTCCAGCAACTACAAACATGAGGCTTAAACACAAGGTATTGCAAAAAAGCCTACTACAGTCTGAAGTAGTACAAAGACAATTTTTAATTCAACCTTTTGCTTGAACGTTCAATTCTTCATGGTTCCAAGCAAGAGGTACAAAGAAGTTTCACCCTCTTTCACTACAATACACATTTCCTGTCAGCAAAACTCTTTGATTTTATATGTTTGAACTCAGATCTTCAGAAAAAGTTTATTTAATTTAACATCCACTATGCTACTTAGCTTTATCTTTTCTGACTCACATTAATGATGAAGACTCTTTCAAGTTGTTAGATTTTGAGCACTGGTAAGTGCACAATAACATGTAATACATACTTCAAAACAAAGTACATATTACAACATTTAGACACCGCCTTTACTTTAGCCTCAGTTTGCATTACTTAAACCATATATAATGACATACTGAGAAAGAACGCTATTGTAGGAAGAGCGC